AAACCAAACTGGTTGCTGTGAAGTCGATTCAGACTCACCATGACCCATGTGTTACAGAGTAGAACTGCTCCACGGGGTTTTCTTGGCTGTAATCTTTAAGAAAACAGATCACCAGGCCTTTCTTCTGTGGTGCTGCTGGGCAGATTTGAACAGTCAACCTTTAGATTAGTAGTCCAGCCACACGGTTTGCACCACCCACGGACCAATTCAGCATTCCCAGGCTGCCCCATTTCTTCACATCTGTAGCTTCTGTGTCCACTGTATAACCCACTGCTCTTTTACCATCCTCCTATCAGAACTTGTTCTCAGGAGAGGCTTGATGAACTTACACTGGATGTGAATGGCTGAGAAAGCTCGATGTATTTAGCTTGTTTTTTTTTAAGTGAACCTGGGTGTTTTGTAGTTAAAATTGTAAACAAATAAGAACCCTCTGCACCTGATGCTAGGCTATAAATGAAAAAAGCCCATTGATTATTATAATTTAAACGGACAGTGTCCACAATAGAAATTCACTTAAATTCACCTAGTAAACGAGTTCAGAAATACTATAAAATCACACTGCAAAACAGAGAACTTCGACGGACTTCGTTAAACTCCCGACCTCAAAGGAAGGAAACCAACTAACCAATAATGATAACTTGGGGCGAGGGGGCGGGAGGTTTAGGATCCATACGAGATTCAGAGCTTACAATGCAATGATTCAGCATTTTGGGGGTCAATCAAAACCAGACCCGGGGCAAGGTCAAGTGGCGTCTGATACTGGGGGCTGTTGTTAATTGCCATCCAGTCATTCCCACTCATGGCAATTCCATGTGTGGGTAAGGGGCAGAATTTCCTGTTCGGTACCGTAAAAATAATTTCCCTTCCCACAAAACCCGTGGTGGGTACCCTGCGAGCTGTAGGGAATCTCTGGGCATTCTTTAGCTTCCGCAACCCCCGCTCCCTTCCGCCCACCGGTCCCAAGCCTCTGTGCAGGTCGCTTTCCACTGCGCCGCCTCCATCGCCGAAACAAAGAGCCCAGCTCGCCTTCGGAGCCGCTGCTTGGCGGGACACTTCTAGGGGACTTTAACACGCGAAGGAAAGCACTAGTCCGGTTTTGGCAAGAAGCACCCTCGGTCTGGATGTTGATCTTTAACACTACGTGCATTTAACTTCTTTCTCCGTAGTTTTGTATTGTTGCTTTCCCCACGCCACCCGGCACCGCACACCCTCTGCTGCGCCTCGCCAGGCGGCTGCGGCAAGCGCGGGAGGGAAGGGCGGGGCGCGGGTCCGCCGGCGGCGACAGCGCCTGGGCGGCAGAGATAAGCTCGGCCGGACGGAAACCTCAGGCCGCACCAGGCGGGCACCGGCCGACTCTGAAGCCGGGATCTTGGGCCTCGACACAGGGCGGGGCGGACACGCCACGGCGCGCGGCCAATCGACGGCGCTGGAGGCCATTCAAAAGGCTGAGGAGCCAATGGGAGCCCGCGGAGGGGCGAGCCGGGCCGGGGCTGCGCGCGCCCGGGTCGCGGGGCCGCGGGTGCG